AAAAAAAAAAACTGTAAGCACAAGAAAGCAAAGTTGATAAAACAGTACAGAAGAAAATTTTAAAATAATGGCAGAATTCTCACTGGAAATAGAAGCATGAGCACAGATGGAAACAGAATTTTGGCCTGTCAAATTTAACAACGTATTAAATAGATACTGTGATGAAGTGAGTTTATCCTAGGTATAAAAAGTTGATTTAACATTTGAAAATCAATAAATTAACTAAAAAAAGAAAAACTGTGTGACTGCTTTAGTAACTACACAAAATCCTTTAGTAAAAAACCCACATCTATTTCTAGTCAAAATTCTCAGCAAACAGAAGGAAATTCCTCAATCTGATGAAAGGGCATTTATAAAAAGTTTACAACTAACATTGTACTTAAAACTAAACATGTTCGGAAATTCCTGGTGAGACACCCTGTAAGATCTGGAAAAAGAAAAGATTATCTATTTTCTTTATTTCTTTTTAACATTGCATTGGAGATTTCTAGTCTGTATAGTCAGATAAGAAAAATAAAGACACCAAAAACCTCAAAGGAAAAAAGTAAAACTGCCCCTTTTTTCAGAGCATGTGAAAATCCTGTGGAAGTTGCTAGAAAGTTACCAGAAATCGTAAGTGAATTGAGCAAGCTTGCACACGCAGGATCCATGTGTTCAAGTTAGTTGTATATGAACAGTCAGGAATTAAAACTAAAAAAGAGTACTACTTACAGTAACAAGGATAGAGGATATTTAGAGGAAAATCTTCATAAAACATGAAAGATCTGTGCACTGGAAACTAGTCACTACTGAGAGAAAGGAGATCTGAGTAAATTTTTATGGTTCTGAAGACTTGATGTTGATTTTCCTGAAATCTGAATCTCAAAACTTAATTATAAGGTGTCATGAAGTCCAATTAAAAACTGAGTGACAATTTAAATGACATTGCACTGAAGAACGTAGAAAGTTGGCATGAAAATGTGTCCCACCCTTGCCACCATCTCCTGTGCCTCTTGCGTTGGCATCTCCAGGTCCGGATCTCCCGTTCCATTCTCAGATGTATCAGCTGTTGCTTTTAGTTGTAAAATCTGGATGTGCCTGGCTTTTTTTTTCTTTTAACACATATTTAACAAAGAGACAGAATGTTGCCTTAGAATGTACCTTGAATGCAAGGCACTCCTTGAGCTTGAGCTTTGTGATCTCTACTTGATAAGCAGGACATGCAGTTTATTGCTGTGTCTAACTAACAAAAATCTGTTAGTTCCACCTTCTCTGTGTCCAGCCTAGTCAGTACATCAGTGAAGCAGGTCTTCAGGTCTGGGGTCAAGGAGTGACGTAGAAAGTTCTGTTCCTCTCTGTTCCAACTTTATTAGTCGTAAGGTTGATGTGCAGTTCCCGTTTAGCTCATGCCATGTGTTCTTACTCTCACCTACAGCTATTGCAGCAAGATATTACGCTACAAATTAAAAAAAATATATTGATTGAGGGCTTATAAAACCCGGCTAGTTATTGCAAGGATTAAGAGTTAGACCCAGATTTCCTGTGTCCCTAATATTGTATGGTGGGGTTGTTTGCTTTTTTGTTTCTTAATGTGGTGTAGGAATTGAATCCAGGGCTTCTCACATTAGGCAAGTGATCTACCACTGAGCTACATTCCCAGCCCCGAACTCTATAGTTCTTACGTTCACTTTGATGACATGCTAATAGTTTTCAGAGTGTAATTTTCCAGAAATTATAGGTAAGGATCATTGTTGACAAGTTTTTAATTTCCAGTTGACTACTGTGGCTTGTAGTGCACCTGAAGAGGCCAAGATCCTTAGCTTCGTATCCATAGTCCTATTACCTATTAAGAATAATTTTTAAGGGGCCAGGGAGATAGCTCAGTAGAATAAGCGCTTGCCTGGCAAGCACAAAGGCCTGAGTTCAGTCCCCGGTTCCGCAAAAAAAAAAAAAAATCATTAAGCTTCCTGTAATTTCATACTGTTTCTGAAACTTAATAATTTGTCATCAATGTGCTGTGTGGCCCCACCCCTCCAGGGCACTGAGCCTGGGATTGAGATTGGGCGTGGTGGCGCACCTATAATCCCAGTGCTTGGGATGCTGAAAACAGTGGTATCACTATGAGTCTGATCTGTATAGTGAGACCCTGTAGTTCCTGTACTAAAAAAAAAACATTAAAAAAATAATCTGTCGCACCAAGAACTGCAAACACTACAACTACCAACATAGCAGCAGGACACGCCCTTTGTGTATCCAAACAATATACTACACTTATGTTTCTGTCTACATCTTATTTTTTTTGTTATTGTTTTTTTGGCAGAACTGGGGATTGAACTCAGGTCCTTGTGCTTGCCAGGGAAGCACTTATTCCACTGAGCCATCTCCCCAACCCCATGCTTATGTTTCTTAGTGTTTATTAATAAGTGTGAATTAATTTCTTATTCTATCATGAGTTCTATAAGTTGCCAAAACACAGCTGATACTACATGTAATATTTAAAAATCTCTTTGAGAAATTATGTAGTGGTTGCTTTTTTTCCATCTGATGGCATTGTTGTTTCATGTTCTTCATAAATAGTTTCTTTAAAATCTTTTGTTTCAGGAGGTCTAGACGTGCACCTTACTGGGTTTTCTTGTATCTAGGCTGAAACACACTGGTTTTCTGTTTTAGATCACTTGAGTGACTTAAGGTTTATTTCTGTGATGTTTTTCATCAAGCTGCTCAAAAGAGGTTATTGCTTTTTTTTTGACATTCATAACTGAGTTCATGTAATCTTGTTGCATTCTAACTGAAGCTTGTTTCTCCCCTTATATTTTCAGATACCTGTACCTGCTGTTCTCTGGTGATGACCTTTTACCCTTAGACCACTGGGTGTTTAACACAGAGGCTCACCCTCTGCCTGTGTTACATTTAGCCAACACAACACTTTCAGGTAATCCTGCTGTTCGATGAAAGCATCTCTAGAAGGACCGTTATTACCTGTGTTTTGTTTACATGGACTACTACAGAAACTAGTCTGGAGAGGAGTCTTTGCAAACCTGGACCTCGAAGTCAACATGACAGGGTGAAACTCTTCCCCACAAGACTTTTCACCATGTAAATATGCCAACTTTGAAAATATTCCATTTTATACCTGACCAAAACATGTCCTGGTACGTATAGGACAGAGACCTGGTATATTTTGATTTGTAATGAAATGGTCACTTGAGAAACAATGCCCATTACTTCTGTATTATTAGAGCAAGCCAAGAACATAGAACACCTTGCAGGAGTTAGAGATGGCCTTTGGAATGAATTATGTATTTGTTTCCTCCCACAGTGGAGCAGCTTTCAAATCAAATATTTATACATTGTTTATCCCTTTTTTCTCCATTTTAATAATGGAATAAGCTAAGACAAACAAGGACAAAAGAACAGTGTAACTGTATCAGTAACAAGAAGACTCAAAAAAAGAAACAGAAGTACTGAACCCTGGCTGACTTTCCATGTTCCCCATTGGATGACTAGACTGGCAACCATTTCAACCCCAACCTAGTTCATTGAAATTTCTTGGTTAAATTTAATTCGCTGGGAGCATGACCTCACAAGAGTACTTAGTCTCTCTCCATGTGGTACCATTGAAACTGCTGTTTGTTATCGCCAGTGCTCAGGAGCCTGGGCTTGAGATTTTGTGCATGTAGTTCAGTCTGATGTAGGCAGCATGACAAAATGTGGGGAAATGCCATTTTGTTGCCTTGAAACTTGTTTTTTCTTAGTGAAATCTTTGGTTTTGTTGGTGAGATTATTTTCCTAATCCAACAAGTTTATCAAGTAAATTTTATCCACTTTAATTTCATTAAAAAGTTAAGAGTCGCTCAACTAACAACTTTCTGACTGGACAAAATTCACTATGCTGTTGTGCAGCTTTGAATTTGCAGTGATAAGCTGAATTTCTTTCATGCTTATTAAAGCTAAAACAAAACAGTGAAATTTCTTTAAACCTTTTTATCTGGAATGGGGACTGGAGGTTCTTTATCCTATCAGATGAATGAGCTATTAGTTTACATAAAAATATTCATAGTTTGCAAAGAATTAATCAGAATAGCTTCAAAATAATTTTCAGTGGTAACTGTAATTTATTATACTAAAATTAGAATTTATCTAAAAGACTTTCTTTTACCCTCAGTAGATTTTACATTGATACTTCTTTTTAAAGATATTGCTGTTTTTCATTTTGGCAGAAAGAACTTAAATTTTATCAAGAACTGCAATGTAATGTAAATACTAATGCTTATAAATTTTCTGTTCCTTGAATTTCTGCAACAGTGCAAGGCACTTTTCTCTATTCATTTGATACAGATCTTTTCCATTGACACTAATAAGAATTGGAAACAATGTACCGTAATATTTACTCTAAATGTGAATATTTCATGAAAGAAATGACTTTGGAAATCTAAAGGCTTACATTTGCTAGTTTTTCTTTTAAATCCTCTGTTAGTATGTAGTAGATTTAAATTGGGAAAGAATTAAACAGATAAAATATTTTCTGAGAATGATAATCTTACACTACTAAGCTTCATACAATTCTCAATTCAACCAATGATGCATAAACAATAACCACCCCAAAATTGTTCAGTAGACACAGAAAATAAAGATGGTAATCCAGTTTCAGTAAGTCTTAAGATTAAATTTTAACACCTGTTTTGAAATTGTAATGTATTTTGCTACTTGCACATTTTAAATTTTGAGATAGACTCATTTTAGAAGAGAAAGGTATTTGGTTCTCAGAAAAATTTAGCATTCTAAGGATAGCGCAAGTCCATTAGGAACCACTGAACAAGCTAAGTGTTGGCAGCCCAGAGCAGCTGTGCAGATGGCAGCAAATTCTTTCCCACCTCACTGAAGGATGCAGCGTAGGTGGGCCCTCTTGGCTCCCAGGGAGGCCTCAGCAGTCCGAACCCCCACTCCAAAGAGCTCTCTGTTACTGGATGACTGCACTTAAGAAGAGGCATGGAAGTGCACGAGCTTGCCAGTCTGGTACAAGAAAGATTTGAGGACTTTGGAAGGGTCTTCACCAGTTTCTATCATTTGTATGACGTAACTAGAGCTTATAACAATGCTTTTTCTTTTTTCTTTTTTTAATTTTTAATTTGTTTGTATTTAGTACAGGGTCTCACTACACAGATTGGACTTTTAGTGATCCTTCCCGTTTTTCAGCCTCCTAAGCATTGGGATTACAAGCACATGACATCACGCCCAGTCTCATTCTCCGACTCAGTGCGCCCCCGGGGGTGGGGCTGGCATGGCAGGCTGAGAATTGAACCCCTGGCCCCTGCATCTGCCTAAGCAGATGCTTTAATCTGCTGAGCTATTTGGCTGGCCCTAATGCTTTTTCTTCTGTCAATACCAAAGGCAATGAAAGTCAAATACAAGTAACTAGCCATTGTCTTGTCTTATTTTTGTTATAGGTTGTTAAAATAACTTCCTCCAAGATCAGTCCTCGCCTGTATTTTGTGTATTTTCCAGAAATATCTTTTATTTTTGTCCTTCACGGCCCTTTGCATTTTTAGACCTTATTACTCAGGTTCAGTATTCCTTGCATTTATTTGTAAGACCAGTGAAAAAGCCCAGAAACACTCTTCTTGGTGCCTCCTCAAAGCACTGACATCTCACCTTGTGCCTGTGGCACAGCTATGCAGAGTAATTAGTTGATACATAAAAGATGAAGAAGGTTGCTCACCCCAACTACCTTGTACATTTGTCTTTATTTTAGAATCATATTTTTTCAAACCATTAAAAAAAATCAACTAGAATGAAACTTAACCAGTGTGAAATTGTTAAGACCAAGTGAATAGTCCTGTAACCAAAAAGAAGTTCCAGTGCAGAAAAATGAGTCCCTAGTCAGGTGATTTTTACTTTTTGGTAGCTTTTACATTATTCAAGTCTCCTAACACCAACTTATTCCTGTCCTTGAGCAGTTGTTTATATGAAGGAGTAAAACCTGATATTGAAAGAATGCATTTTTTTGATGGAATATCAACCTTGGTTTTATATGATGTTACCCAGGACAACCCAGGAGCTTTACTTGGTAGATGTTAACCAAACAGTTTGAAATTTTGATCATCACCCTTTTTCATTCTCCACTCTGCATTGGCAAAGTTTCTGTCACCACTCTAAATTTATTGATACAAGATTATGCTTGCCATTCTTGTAATGTAGCTTCTCCTTAAGCTTGAATTCCTTTGAATGAGTGAATGCATGAGTAAACGAGAGAATGAATGAACAAAATCATGGAGTACCAAGTAAGTGCCAAGCCTTGTGCCTGGCACCTTTAAGCATTAGAATATTTTATGTAATTCAAGTGACATTTTCTGTATGAGAGTAATTCATACCATTATAAATGTTTTCCAATGTGAATCATGCTACAAAATTCTTAATTTTATATTTCATTTAAATTAATGAGGAAAAAGTTTATAATATATTTTAAACAATGTGTTACTATATAATACTAACAACTGTAATTGTAGTTAATAACTAAAATCTCTTGGAAAAGATCAAATATTTGATTCTGATGCAACTTTGACTAAAGTATTTACTTTAGAAATAAAAGCATTCATATTTTGGTATATCACTTTATGTATAATTAAAATTAATATTTTCTAGAAAAGCTGGTTATTTTATACTCATAAAACTTTTGTCAATTCATGGGTAAAATCTGCAGTTATAAATTTCTTTGCTCTGGTACACTTCCTATTAATGGTAGTACCCATATTTCTTAAATATAAAGAAAAACACAGTAAACTATTTCTAGGTTCCAAAACCGTAGTTCCTGGTAATTTCTTTAGCCTCGATGTGGCTAGCTTGTGTCTTGTCCACGTTTATATAGATATATACATGAATATAATTTATACAGACCTATTGTCAGTTCACAAACACAGAGACTGGTTTTGAGCCACACACAGATTATATGCAAAATATTTAAGTAACTACATAGGATACAGAGGTATTTTAATGCACTTATTTTGATTCAAGAACATTGATGAAGATGGTGTTGTGTTACTTTCGCTGCTTTACATCATGATAGAACGTTCTTTTTGATCTGTGTACACTCCACAAGCTTTTTCTGTAAAGGGCCAGATAATAAATATGTGAGCCATACAGATTCAGTTCTGTTGTTGAAGTAGGAAAGCAGCTGTAGATAACATTTAAATGAATGCATATATCTGCATTCTAATAAAACTTTATTTATAAAACAAGTGGAGGGCTGCAGATGGGCCCACAGGTCATAGCTGCTAACATTATTCCACATGTAATTTGTATAAGACCCTCTAACTTTTGGTGTGTATCTTTTCTATGTGTCTTAATTTGCAAGATTTATTGTTAAAGCAAGAAGTGTATGCGTTAATTTGTATTTATGTTACCTAAAGCTATGTGTTTTGTTGTGTAGAAAATACATGTACTCCTGTGGACTCTGTTCAGGTTTCAGAATAATATGACTCTTACGAAAGGGACAGAATTGAGTGGATATGCTATCAGACACTATCTTCAGCTTAGTATTTGATGCCATAACTCTAAATTTTCCAAATAAAAAGTTCTAGCATCAAAATACTATTTGGTCCCCAAATTCTGCCTGCTTACTGACCCTTGGTTTGGGACTCTGAATTGCTGGAGCTGCAAAAATTTGTCCAATGTGGTACCCTTTGAGCTCTAAAACAAGAATATCATAGAATTCCTGATCTTGGTGCTGTTAAAAACAAATCTTTTGAGAAATTCTAGGCAACAGACTATGTGTTAGGTGCTTCATTTGCCATTTGACAGCCACTGTTAGACTACAAAAGGTTACTGCCCTCTTAGCTCTGGAAGGGCCTGATCGTGAAGGATGCAGGAAAACAGTGTATCTGAAAGGAAAACTCCTGTCCTCTTTCCTTGCATAATTCTCCACAGACCTTTACAAATCAATAATGTTAGTTCAGAATGTAAATATGCATCATTTCTAGTTAAAACACCCTTCAAACTCAACATTGTACTTCTACTATTTAACAACTAATACGTTTCAAACTTGCTTTGCATCCAGCATTTGCAGGATTCACATAATTGCTCACAAAATTACACAGCAGCATATTAACTAGCATGTACATTGTAGTGTACCATCACTCTGACAGATACAGTTGTAGATTCTTCACTAAGAGCTTCATTAAGTGTTTCACTGTTTTTGGAAAT